TGGCAAAATTAGAAAATGAAAGGGTAATTTTTATGTTGCACTTTTACTTCTTTTCCATTAAATCAAACGTAAATATATATATATTTATATAAGTATAGGTTGTTTGTGTAAGCTGTTATACGTCACACATGTAATATAAAAGTACTTTAACCCCTTAAGGACTGGACTGTTTTTGCGATGTTGCACATTTGCGACCAGGCATATTTTTACACTTTTGTGGTGTTTGTGTTTGGCTGGAATTTTCCGCTCTCTCATTTACTGTTCCCATACAAATTATATATTGTTTTTTTCAGGACAAAAGGGGCTTTCTTTACATACCATTATTTATATAATCTCATGTATTTTAATTTAAACAAAATAAAAAAATATAATGAAAAATTGAAAAAAATACATGTTTTTTGACTTTTACTTGAAAAATCTTTTACTCATCTACAAAAGCGAATTAAAAAAACTGCTAAATAGATTCAAAATTTTGTCCTGAGTTTAAAAATACCCCGTGTTTACATGCTTTTTTGCATGTTATAGGGCTATAGGTACAAGTAGAATATTGCGGTTTCAAAACATAAATTTTTTAAATTTATCAATAGTGACATTGTAACACTATTATCTGTCATAAATCTCTGAATAACACCCCATATGTACATATTTTTTTTAAAGTAGACAACCCAGGGTATTCAATATGGGGTATGTCCAGTCTTTTTTAGTAGCCACTTAGTCGAAAACACTGGCCAAGTAAGCATTCATATTTGTTTGTGTGTGAAAAAAGTAAAAAAACTAAATTGAACGCTAATTTTGGCCAGTGTTTGTGACCAAGTGGTTACTAAAAAAGACTGGACATACCCCATTTGCAATACCTTGGGTTGTCTTCTTTTGCAAATAGTATGCCATCATGGGGGTAATTCTCATTCCTGGGCTACCATACGCTCTCAAAGGCAACGTAACCAACCTGGCCATTTTCAATGTAAAAATATTTGACCCATATATTTGACCTTGTAACGTTCAAAAATGCTATAAAACCTGTACATGGGGGGTACTGTTTTACTCAGGAGACTTTGCTGAACACAAATATTAGTGTTTAAAAACTGGAAAACGTATCACAACAATTATATCATCAGTAAAAGTGCTGTTTGTGTGTGAAAAATGCAAAAAGTCACTTTCACTGACAATATCATCGCTGTGATATGTTTTACTGTTTTGAATCACTAATATTTGTGTTCAGCGAAGTCTCCCGAGTAAAACAGTACCCCCCATGTACAGGTTTTAGGGTGTCGTAGAACGTTACAGGGTAAAATACAGTGCTAGCAAATTCAATTCTCTGGAATTTCGTCCTGGGTTGGCAGGCAGGTCCCTCAAATTGCAATCAATAAAATTACTGAATTATGTAAAAATATTACATAAATACGCACGTAGAATTTAAATATATATGCATATTTATATATTTGAAATCTACGTGTATATTTATATAATTATTTATGTAATTTTGTATATGGACATATGTATATTTCGTATTATTTTTATTTATTTATATATACATAGATATATATACAAATTCATTCTAAGTGTATTTTGATATAAATATATATATTAATTTTAAAATACAGTTAGAATAAAATTTCATATAGCTATATAATTTTTTTTAAAATTTTTATTATTATTTAAAAAATTTTTATTATATTTAAATTACTTATTATTTATATTTTATAATAATATATATACAATATATATAGTTATTATATATATTATATATATACGTGTGTAATTTAATTATAAGTGTATTTTTATATTAATATAAGTACATATTAATATAAAAATACACTTAGTATGACATTATATATATGATAGATAGACATATATTATATATATATAATATATGTCTATATATCATATTTATACACATATATAATTTTTAAATTTTTTTTTATTAACACTAACTTTATTTTTATTTATTTTTTTTACACTAGCAGGGAGACTGCCTGTCAGCACAGACAGTCCCCCTGCAGGCAGCACTATGGACACCTATTGTGACCATGTGATCGCTGTGTTAAGCGATCACATGGCCACAGGGGTCCTAAATCAGTGTGGGGAGACTGTCTGGGCTGCAGGCAGTCTCCCCACAACTGGAGCCACGCTGACCGCCGCCAGGGGAACGTCGGCGATCAGGTAAGTACCCCCAGACCGTTAGGACGGTTCAGGACCGTCATCGGTCCTCAAGGCAAAAATGCCGATGACGGTCCTGAACCGTCCTCGGTCGCTAAGGGGTTAATAAAGGAAATCTAAATAAAAGGGAACTAAAGTAACCAGAGCAACTACAGCTTAATGTATTGTTCTGGTAAGTATAGTCAGACTGTACATGGTCAATTAACCATGTACACATGTGTGCTGTGGGGTTGGGAGTTTTAATTTGTGCCGCGTGCTGCATGCGCACACTGAGCATCGTGAGGGCATGACATTTTGGCAGCACGATGCCTTCGCGGTTGGCAGTTATCTTTAGTGTCTGTGAGGGCAATTTTGCCAGGAAAACACTGTATATAAGCCGTGAATTGGACGCCTTCAAAACGTTATGCTGCAGCTGCTCTCTGTTTATTATTTTTGTTGTGGTCTTTTATTGGGGTTAAGGTCACCTGCCTATTCAAAGGAGGGGTTGGACTGTAATAATATGTTTAAGTTATGGCTATATATAGGGCAGAACTATGGTAAGTCATGAGTTAAATCTCTGGGTGGTTTTAAAGACCAGAGATTTTTGGTCACAAGTTATGTAGTTTTGAAAGTGAGTAAAGTTATGGTTACAATGTGTTTGTAAATTAAATAAAAGACCACATCCTTTTCTTCCACATATCTGTGTCAATGTGTTTTTTATTACAGCTATATAAGTGTGGTTTTGATTGTTTAGTGTGATAGATTCTAACCCCTGCAGTGCATTTTCATGTAAACATTACATTTTCAGAGAAAAAGGCTTACATTGCTCCCTAGGGACACCTCCAGTGACAGTAACTCAGACGGCCATTAGAGGTGCTTCCTGGGTCAGTGCAGCACTGACATTCAGTGTCTCCACCCTCTTTAATGTATCTTTTTGAGGAGATGCTGGTTGGCCAGCACAACATTTGGCTAGTCAGTATTGGGAAATGCTGGATTGGTTGAGATTGTCAATTCTGATGATCTCTAATCCAAGGAGGCGGATCAGAGATGGGACCAGCACTATGCTGGGATAAAGGTAAGATTTTATCTTATTTGGACCATCTCAACCAGGGCAATATGAGGGGATAGTACAGTGACAGTCATAAAAACTCTTGAGCAACCCAGTGAGGAGGCAGGATTAAACCCGAGTACCTTGCATTCATCCGTACCCTGAAGTGTAGTATATCACCTGCTCAACTCTCTTCATATCATTCTCTTCTGCTTCTCTCATGCCTTTTTCTTTTCACGGCCTTCCCCTCCTGCCAGTCTCTAAATGTAGCGAGGCAGGGCCACAGACCGGGGTAGAGAAGCTTCAGTACCCTCTACCCCAGTCTGATGGGAAGTGAGTGCAGGGAGTGCCATACTGCTTCCTGTCAAACCGGGGAGAGGTTACTGAAGCTCCTCTACAGAAGGGTTGTGGGGTGAGAGAGACAGGGTGCTGGGGGAAGTAACACACAGAGGGGCTGGGGGGGATAAAGAGACAGAGAGGTTGAAGAAGGGGAGAAAGAGATACACAAAAGCGGTTAAAGGGACACTATAGTCACCTGAACAACTTTAGCTTACTGAAGCAGTTTTGGTGTAAAGAACATGCCACTGCAGCCTCACTGCTCAGTCCTCTGCCATTTAGGAGTTAAATCCCTTTATTTATGAACCCTAGTCACACCTCCCTGCATGTAACTTGCACAGCCTTCCATAAACACTTCCTTTAAAGAGAGCTGTCAGGTTATACCTGCCGGTTTCGCCGAATTAAGCAACTTCCGGGTTGACGGAGCTCTGCCCCGCCCCTTCTCTGATGCGGTCTGCTCACGCTACATAGGAAGACCGTGCCAGATTCAAAGTTGCTGGATTATTGAACGAGTTCCTGTGAACCTCTTACCGGCTACCCAATTACATTCGAAGTTTTTCCGTGTACCGTACCCGCTCTGAAAATGACTACCCTCCTTCTCCACTCCTCGACCTCGGATTGTTAAACGGACTTTTGCTCCTACCCCTAAGGAACTGCTTAATTTGAACTCTCCGGTTTTCTGGAAACTGCTTCTGAAGCTAAGTACTTTTTTCCTTCAATCCAATTTTCTCTCAGTTGCAAAATATAAGCTGCCTCATTGTTAAACACTCTTGAAGCTAATTCTACTGCATTTAATTCAACTCTAATTCTGCATGCATTCTCTGCACTATCCTTAATTGGGACTGCTTGGCTTTATGCAAAACTTCAGTGGCTTATTTTTTTCTGCAACTAACAACCTGCTATAAGGGTTTAAAGCTACAGTAACCACTCTTGCAATTCAATAACAAAAAAGAATAAAATTATAAATTGAAGTATTTAAAAGTTTCTGCAGTTGCGTTCCAGTAGTTTAGCATTACAAGAGCCCTATTTAGGTTTTCTTTATTGCAAGTTCTGTTTAATTAAGATTTTCTTATCCCCTGCTATGTTAATAGCTTGCTAGACCCTGCAAGAGCCTCCTGTATGTGATTAAAGTTCAAATTAGAGATTGAGATACAATTATTTAAGGTAAATTACATCTGTTTGAAAGTGAAACCAGTTTTTTTTTTCATGCAGGCTCTGCCAATCATAGCCAGGGGATGTGTGGCTAGGGCTGCATAAACAGAAACAAAGTGATTTAACTCTTAAATTACAGTGAATTGAGCAGTGAAATTGCAGGGGAATGATCTATACACTAAAACTCCTTTATTTAGCTAAAGTAATTTAGGTGACTATAGTGTTCCTTTAAGAAATTCAAGAGGGGGGGCGGAGATGGCCACCTAACAGAGGAGCTCCGTCCCGCTCAGCAATTAAACAGCGCACATACGGCAGCATAACCTACCCAATGGGCCGCAATAAAAGGCCCGTCTCTCACCCGACGGAGACAGGACCCCAGCAGTCACAGCAAACTGGTACGCTGGACGGGTACCTAAGAACGCCGACTAGACAGCCACGCGCTGTAACAGGATCCAAGATGGCCGACGACCGAGCTCCAGCACAGGTACCTGACGCACAGGAACCATCCTTAGCAGATATCAGGGCAGATATTAGGGCCCTCATAGAAGCCATGGTCACAAAATCTGACCTTCAAGCCCTATCAGCAAACCTACATGAAGTTATAAGATCAGAGGTAGCCACACTGCAGAGGGACCTCACAGCCCAAGATGGCCACATACAGACCCTGGAAGGCGCACAGCAAACAGCTGCGACCAGTATAGAGGCCACAAATGCAGCAGTAGCTAGACAGGGGGCAATGCTACTGCAAATAAGAAGACAAACAGAAGACCTGGACAATAGGGGGTGCAGATCCAACATAAGGATCCGCAACATACCTGAAGCCCCTGGGGAAGAAGATGTTGGTGCCATGCTGACAGACCTGTTCAGGTAAATCCTGGGCCCAGACGCCCCGCAGCACCTCGTCTTCGACAGAGCACACAAGGCTCTGAGACCCCGCACTACAGAAAACCCACCAAGGGACATTATATGCGGTCTACATGAATGCACTGAAGTAACAGACTGGGTCCTGGGCCCACTAGAGCAGAGAAACCACCAAATGGCCCCTAGAGCACCCAGACGCCACAGAGAAGATTCGCCTCAAGGACGCCAAGCGCGCAGATACCAACAGCCAGCACAACAACAAGCACACCCCGAAGTGGAATAGGCCTCAGAACAGGAGATGGACCATGGCACGAACCAGCAGAGGTGTAAAGTTTCCCGCAGCAGACAACAGACAAACTTCAAGACCAAGTACACACAGATAAGTACTATACACACTTAGACTTTTGGACACTCAATGACAGTGACAATGACATATGATCCCGGGACACAGAATGCCTATAGTACTTCTTAGACTCAAGGCGACATAAGCACCACCACACACCTTACAATTAGAGACACTGGATCACTACCACCACCAAGAGATTTTGCCTCCTGATCAACCCCAGGGAAGGGCAGCAGGTTGGGGGGGACAGGGCAGAGGGCATACAAAAGGAAGAGAAAAAAAACACGCTGGGACCAGAGCATAAGGACCACTTGCATGGACTGACTACAATCAGACACGGACGTACGGCTCCTGAGCAGGGACTATGGTACAATGTGACACTGTTTGAAGGTGGGGTTGTTGACTGCGGGTAGAGGGAAATAGGGAACAACAGGGTCCAAGGGTCAGAGGTCGGGAGAGAGGGAGGGGACAGAGACCTAGGAAGTAGATGGCTGGCTGAGAGGGAAGAGATGGGAAGGGGAAAGGAGGGTATGAGAGACAGATGTCTACCATACGGAATAAGTGGCCGAAAGTCAATCGTACAATACGAAGGGAGAAGGGACAGAGGTAGAAGAGACCTAGATGGGAAGGATGGGGACGTCATGGGAAGAGGAGAAGGTATAGTGTCATAATATGATATTAATCCTGATTGTTTGGTAATTGAGGGGAGGGGAGGGAAGAGGGAAGTGGGGAAGAAAAAGGAAAAAAATAAGGAGGGAGGAAGTGAAGCTATAAGGTATTCGGAATATCTATGTATGATGAACTTGCAACTCTTTTCAACTGTTTAAATATGCTGAAGCACATACCAAACGCGTAGCCCCACCGAGCTGTTGCCCAACCCCAGCATAAAGGGACACATAGAGACTGGTCAACTGCCTGTAGGCAGAAGCAGACGATCCAAGGAAAACACGCTAGACAACCTCGAGTCCCGTAGGGCACTCATGTCCCCCCCTGGAACGGCACAGCCAGTGTTAAAGGAGATCACCATGCACATAGTCGCTACATCCCATGCCCTACTGGACTCACACCACTCACAAGCCAAACCATCAGCACACACACCACGTATGACGATGAACTGACACGAAGGGAGACAATACCTCACTAAAGACACTCAATAGCAGACAAGGTTATATCTCAGATATCAAAACGAAATAACATGAGTGCATTTATCAAACGATAATTATACCACACACTACCCCAATCAAAATAACTGGAGAGATACACCCCAAAAGGCACAGGCCACCACCCGACACACAATCCGTGTAGAATACCCACTGGGAGACCACTGCTGACGCCTAGCCGGGAGAACTGACCGGCGGTACGGCACCGATTATCTACCCAAACACACGGAGCTACCCTATACCGGGGTACCGCGAAACCCCTAACACCCCCGATCGACCTCACGAAACAAACGCCTTCAACCCATCGGCAGATCGGGGACACACACAGCTTCCAACACAACCTACCACCCACACATAGTCGCACCACTCACACACACACCTACACACTACTCCTAAACCCACCGCTCCCGCCTCCCCCGGCCCAGGCCCCCACAAAACTGCAGGGGCCTCAACACACGGAGAAAAGATCACACCTCCTTCGCAACCTCAAGCAGCAACATGTATCAGTCGCCCTCCTACAGGAAACACACCTCAGACCAGAAACTAACAAGTTGCTACGGGACAACAGCTACCAAACAAACTTTTATAGCACTCACCCATTGGCCCGCAAAGCAGGGACGGCGATATTATTGGCATCTCACTTACAATTCACCCTTATGGACAAGATGGAAGACACAGGGGTAGATTTCTCTTCATTAAAAGAGAGACAGCGTGGAAAATATACACGTTTGCTACGGTCTACGCTCCAAACAGTGGACAAGCCAGCTTCCTTAGGAGAACAATAGCGAGACTCTCTCGATTCACGGAAGGAACCTTCCTATTTGGAGGGGACCTCAATGTACCCCTGGACACGCAAAAAGATACCTCCACGGGAAGCAGTAGCGTCCCAGACTCCGCGATTAAAACCATACGTAAAGCTCTTAGAGAAATAAGGCTGGTAGACACCTGGAGAGTGCTGCTGCCAGAGGGAAGGGACTACACCTATTATTCCACGCTACATCATAGGTACAACAGAATTGACTATATAGTCGTGCAACAAGAGGGGCTCACATACCTCCAGAGTGCTGACATCCTCACTAGGACGTGGTCGGACCACAGCGCGGTGCAAGTGTCTATGACATCACCATTGTTCAGACCGACAAGAACCTCATGGAGGCTGAATGACTCCTTACTGATAGATGCGGCAATACAGGCACAGGTGGCGGAACACCTTAATCAATACTTTGCGGTGAATGCCACAGAAGGAGTATCAGACATGACGGTATGGGAAGCTCATAAAAGCGTCATCAGAGGTCACCTCATCCGAATAGCCACCCAAAGGAAGAAATAAACTAGCCACCAGATCATAGACCTCACCCAGAAGATCAGCAACCTGGAACTAACTCACAAACGCGACCAACAGGAGCAGACCTACAGAGACCTAATGTCCACCAGAAGACAATTGGCAGAGCTCCTTGAATGCAAACACACCAGAACTATACAGCGATCACGTGCATTCTTCTACAGGCACGCCATTAAAGGGGACAAACTCCTCGCACGGATACTGAGAGGCACACAAAATAGGGCACAAGTCCACACCATCCGAACAGCGCAGGGTAAAATAACGCAGTTCCCAAAGGAAATCACAGACGAATTTGAGAAGTTCTACACAAAACTATACAACACACACAAAGGAAACGATGGACAATCCCCGACCACAAGGCAGGCGGCCATAATAGAATACTTGACCAACTTACAACAAAACACCCTCACACCGGTTGAAGCAGAGGAATGAGATTGGAAATAAGACAGGCACTAAAAACAGCAAAAACGGGCAAAGCCCCGGGACCAGTCGGCTTCCCGGTGGAATACTTCAAGAAATTCAGACACATACTATTAACGTATCTGACCAAGGTGCTCAACAGCATAAGAGACGGACACGCCTTCCATAGGGAGGTACTGGTGGCTACCATCACAGTGATCCCCAAACCAGGAAAATACACCGAACAAGTCGGCAACTACCGCCCAATATCGCTCCTTAACACGGACATCAAACTCTTCTCCAAAATCCTGGCAATGACACTACAAACCCATATGACACGATTACTACACCCAGACCAGACAGGCTTCATACCAGGACGTGAAGCAAGAGACTGCACCCTATGACTGTTTGACATACAACATCTGGCCAAACAAACGGAGTCGAGACTGCTGTTACTCTCCACAGATGCAGAGAAAGCTTTTGATAGGGTGGACTGGAGCTTCATGATTGAAACACTACGATCCACAGGTATAGGCATGGGTATGCTTACACGGATCACCGCGCTTTACAGTCAACGGACCGCCAGAGTTAGGGTGAATGGTGCACTTACAGACGGTTTCGACTTAAAAAAACGTCACGAGACAGGGGTGTCCATTGTCGCCCCTGGTATTCGCCCTCACCCTAGTACCTCTATTAGAAAGCATCAGAAGAAACGAGAGGATAACAGGACTGAAACATAGAGAACAGGAACACAAAGTCGCTGCATACACTGATGATATGATGTTCTTTCTCGAAAATCCGCTAGACTCAATTACACCACTAATGGAAGAATTCGAAAACTATGTCCGGATGTCCGGATTGAAACTGAACCTGGCCAAATGTGAAATTCTCAATGTCACGGTCCCGGATAACGAATGTGAGCAACTAAAGCGGAAGTTCCCATTCCACTGGTGCGCAGACAGAATGAGATACCTCAGACTGTGTATAACACATACAACAAAGGACATCTATACCCACAACCATGCTCCACTCCTGATAAACATCATAGAAGACCTCAGAAGATGGAATTACCCCCACATAACCTGGATCGGGAGAATAGCAGTCTTAAAGATGAACATCTTACCATGGATATTATACCTCCTACACACAGCACCACAGACAATCCCGCACACATTCTTTACGGCACTCATAACAGCATTCATACAATATGTCTGGAAGGGAGAAAGGGCACGGATCAGCTACGACAAACTCTGCCTCCCGAGGAGTTGGGGTGGGCTGGCTCTACCTGACATCAAAAAGATATCATCAGGCAACGGTATTACAGAGACTCAAAGAACTACACACGGACACGCCACACAAACGATGGGTCCAGCTTTGGAGGGACACTGTAGACAAAAAACTACATACACTGGTGTGGTATAATGAAAGGGACACCAGGACGCTGCTAGGTGAAGACTCTCCCCTCACGCACACCCTAACGCACTGGTCCACAATAAGAAAGGAGCAGCAGATCTCGCCCAAACCCAGTCCCCTGATACCCATCACGTAAAAACCCAAACCTGGGAGACAGCCTTCCACCGAATGCCTGGCCAATAGACGACCGAGATGGATACATACCAATACACACAGTCCTGAACAATACGGGAGTCCAACCATTAAGGGTAATTTCGGGCGAAGAAACGCCCACGCTAATGCACCAATTCCACTATATCCAGCTTAAGCACTACTATCACAACCTACCACACAGAAGCAAGATACACAGAGAACTAACATGGTATAAAAACCTATGCACACAGACACCAGAGGTGGAGGGTAGGGTTTCCGCATTATATCAAAACCTACTGACGTCAAACCGTACTAACAACAACTTATACAAAAGATAATGGGAGGACTGGACAGAGGAGACCTTAACGGACGACCAATGGGGGAAGATACTAACCCTACAACACAAAAGCGCCTCCAGCTCCCACTACCAGGAAGTAAATTATAAGCTCTTGACACACTGGTATCGTACACCGTCCCTGATCAACCGATACAACCTGACAATTCCGTACACCTGCTGAAGATGCGGGGAGGAACCCGGCACCTTAAGGCACATCTGGTGGGACTGCAACAAAATAAAACCTTTTTGGAAGAACATTCAACGGGAATTCAAGCAGATACTAGACAAACCCACACACTTGACGATGGCGGACGCTCTTCTACATCATACAGAACGACCAATACCCTCCTACAGGAGGTCGATACTGAGACACTTACTAAACGCGGCCAAGTCCCTGGTCCCACTGCACTGGAAAAAGGAAAACCCATCCACGATAGAAGAATTTACATGCAGAGTAGAAGACATCAGGATAGCAGAGGCGAAAATAGCAGATTCACAAGGGAGAAGCGACAAACATGTGGAAAGGTGGACACTCTCTGGATACTACCCAGCACTTAAGTGGAGGTGGAAGACGAGATGCACTGGGACGGGGGCGGGGTGAATGTTGGGGGGGCGGGCCCAGGTGCACCGAGGGAGATAGCAGACTCAATCCCCCCCTTCCACCCATCTTGCCCCAACCCCTCCTAACCTCCCTATATAACCCAGGGCAAACATGAAGAGAGAGCTTCATTGCACACGACCGCAATGAAGGTTGAAACCGCAGGGAGCTCACCTGACGGAACTGAAAGCAGAACAGGAGTAAAGAGCAAACGGATACCAACCCCCTAAAACTGTGAAAAACAGATAAACACGCAAGGGGCCATATAAAGAAACAACAAAAGTAGACATCACAGACAAAGAGAATGACAGAGGCACAATATAGTTGCAAACACCCACAAACACGTACTAACTTACACGCTGGGACACGAACGCAACAGGCAAAACCGGACAAGATAACACACACAGGAAACGCAATAACAGCTAAAGACTACAAGGCGGACGACTAATAGAATGGGGATGTTACCTCACGTCACGACACCGCCCACGCACAATAACAAACTACCAGACACCCATAGACGATAACTGATCAGACTAACTAACAGCTAAGAAGAACACAGGGAGACGGAGGTGAGGAGATAGACACACAAGGACGCAATAGAGCAATTACTCCGGGGAATATCAAACCCCTAATATAAAAGAGAGGCTACCGGACACACGTGTATAGTCATGCAGACCCTACATCGCAACAGAAAAAACGCACATCACACATAGCAAAAAGGGAAGGTTGTAAGACATGGGCACGAGAGAACACATCCCAGGTGAGACAGGAGGCCCACGAGCCAAAACACAGCACTGAAAACCATGGAGCCTGCGAGCTCACACAGGTACATATGGTATGTGGAATATACGATAGAGACCTGCGAGTCTCCATGCACACCATCTGATCCCAATGCATAAATCTTTGTATGATACAACAATAAATAAACCTAAAAAAAAAAAGAAAATGGTGAGCCTGCGAGCAAACACGGATGTATATGGCATATGGTATATATCGTAGAGACCTGCGAGTCTCCATACACACTGTCTGATCCCCATGCATAAATCTATGTATGATACAACAACCGTTCAATAAAAAATCATTTTTACAAAAAAAAAAAATAAGGCACACACAGGTGATAAAGAGATTTTTGCTTTTTTTTTTTCATGCCTCACAAATATATATTTGCTAAATATAGACATAGCTATTCATAATATTTAATATCCTGGCAAATGACAGTTTCCCTTGAAGCTTCGCATCAGAGGGAGAACAATTATCCTGGGAAGTGCAACAAAGAATAATAACAGGCAAAGCAGCTCCATACTAAAAGTGAATTTATATAGTTATGCTTTTATTGTGAGATGGTTCACTGAGCCTCATACTTTATTGCATAATTTTTGTGAGATTTTGGTACATTAAAACATACTAATGTGTTGTGCAATTTTTTTGTTCACTTAAAGTACACATTTACTAACAAAAAGGGGGATTATCAACTACGGTCTTTTATTGAGTAATTATGTTTCTATTATTCTATTATGGGTTTTTTTTTTATTAATATATGCATGGCCTATTAAACGGTTGGCACTGCCTGTTGTTCAGCGGTCTGCCTCAATTATGTATCTACAGGCCTATGGTTACGGATTCTGAGTTTGAGGAAGACTTGAATTTACAGGTCAACATAGAAAAATATTGTGCATTCTTTGTACAGTCTCAAGGTAACATCTAACTTCTTTGCTGAAAGTTGTATTTGCTTTGTATACATCGTAACAGAACCATGGCATGGGCTTTATAGCTTGCACCTTGCAGTACACATGTCCCTTCTAAAAGGGTTGCAACTAGTTCCTATCCAGTAGAAGGACCCTGTCCTTTCTGAGGATAGGAAATAGCTTGCTCAGTGTGAGAGAGCTAGTTCCTATCCTGCTAAAGGACCTTTTCGCCCCCTACTGGTCAGGTCCTGTATAGGGATAGGAACTAGACAGCTCACACTGAGAGAGCTAGTTCCTATCCTGCTAAAGGACCTTTTCGCCCCCTAGTGGTCAGGTCCTGTATAGGGATAGGAACTAGACAGCTCAGTGTGAATAAGCTAGTTCCTCTCCTGCTAAAGCACCTATTGCTTCATAGTGTTCGGGTCCTCTTAAAGGATAGGAACTAGACAGCTCATAGTGAGAAATCTAGTTCCTATCCAGCAAAAGGACCTTTATAGCTCCAGCTCATACAGGTCCCTTACAGGGATAGGACCTAGACGGCTCACAGTGAGAAATCTATTCCCTATCCGGCAAAAGGACCTTTATAGCTCCAGCTCATACAGGTCCCTTACAGGGATAGTAATACCTAGTTCCTATACTGCTAAGGGACCTCTATACCTTCAGCTAACAATGGTCCCTTACAGGGATAGGAACTAGATGGTTAACTGTGAGAAATCTAGTTCCTATCCAGAAAAAGGACCTTTATAGCTCCAGCTCACACAGGTCCCTTACAGGGATAGGAACTAGACAGCTCAGACTGAGAGAGCTAGTTCCTATCCTGCTAAAGGACCTATTTGCCCCTAGTGGTCAGGTCCTGTATAGGGATAGG